AATCAAAATAAAGATTTTCTTTAAAGTAGCAAAAAGATAATGAATATTAACCTCAATAGAATTTCATTCGAGTATAAAAAAACTTTTTTAAGATGCAAGAAAATCTTTATTTTGATTATTAATGTTTGCAAAACACGGTACTTAGCGAAGATAGGTCAGTAGAGCAGCATCGGCAGTGGATTATAAACCATGTATACGCTCTTTTAAAGGATTATCATGTAAAACGTTACGAAGGATTTTTACGATCTATTTTAGATTTTCTTATTATGTATGGATTTTTCACTTCGAAAGATTTGAATATAATAAAGGACAAAAGTGATAAAAGGAAAAATATTGAGGCAGGGATTCTTCTTTTTTTTTTTTTAATTAAAAAAAAAAAAATTATTTGGATAGTCCTTTATATATTTATATTTATATTAAATATAGATTGAGTCAAATCACAATGCTTCAAAAACACATGCTTCAAAAAGAGTGAAAGTTGATTCGAAAACATCCATAAGTAGTGTAAGAATGGACGATGATTCAGAAAAACAACATGTCTTATTTGAATCACCAATACCTGAACTCTCAGAGGAAACTCAAAATTATTGTCGGGCACGTTTCTTTCATTCGCTTGGTGAATTGTGTGCCATCCGTTCCTTAGACAATGGTAAAAAGCATTATATAATATTTTATAAATGTAAAGTTTACGATTATTTTGAAAATTAATGTTTTCTTACTATTACTCAGAAACATCTTACCATCGAAATAGTACCGTGAATGACGGTGGAACATGGGCTTATCATGCTGTAAACTTAATGAAAAGGTTTTATGATGATTCTCGAATAGAGCCACTGATCATTTTAAGTGATAAAGCTCAACAAATCAAGAATGATGTAATTATACTCTTACAAGAAATTGCCAGTAAGGTATGTACTTTGTAGTGTTGATAATAGCATGTCTTTAGGATAATAAAATTAATTTGATATTTGCTAATTGATGAAGGCGCCAATAAAAACTTCGAAAAATGATTCCACACGTACCTTACAACACAAAGGTTTTATATTACTGTTTTCTTTTTCAATTCTCGCATTGTACATTGAACCAGATGAGGCCATGAACGCGTTGCAGGTTAGTATCTTATTTCCTTTTAAAATAAAATGTATAATATTATAAAACTAAACTAATCAATAATCAATTAATTTATAGGATTTACGAGTTTGCTACGTTAGGATGTTTGGCAAAATAGGAAAGTCTTCAAAAAAATCGAAAAAAAACAATGAAACTGATCAAGATATGCATAATCCTGTTGATGTGATTGTAGATATTCTACTTGGATTTCTTGCGAAACCATCATCATTTTTACACAATATGTCAGAACAAACATTTAATATTTTTTGTGGCGATATAACAAAATCATCATTTGATGTAATGATTGAAGTATGTACCTTTTTTTTTGAACATTTCCGGTAGTAAAATAACATCTAATTGTTTTAACTGTTATTTTAGCTTTTAAACAAGAAAAATGATAATGAAGATGAACTTGTTGAAACAATTGACAATGACAATGAAGACGATCAAATGATGGATGTGGATTATAATGATAAAAACAGTAATAAAGAACTAGATGATAGCGAAGACGATCGAATAACGGATGATGACTATGATGATAAAAACAGTGATAATGAAGACGATCAAATAATGGATGATGATAAAAGCAGTGATAACGAA